TTTTATTTAATTAATCAAAATGATATGTTTTCAATTATACTCCGGAGTATATATTTCCAAGGAAAAGTATAATTATTATTCAATAATCTGTAAATGGCATTTGTCTGTGTCAACAATTATAAATATTTGCATTAATATCGTCCTGAAATATAAAAAGAAAAACATTAAACATATTGTGTATTATGAAAAAAAAAGAAAAGAATAAACAATATTTCTTAAAACAAAGTATATTTTCCATAAATTATGTACAGGAAAATAAAGTACACAAGGACTATTTAACTTTGAATTGATAAGCTAGAGAGAGAAGACAGCTAGTCAACAGTACACACCCACCGCTAACTGTTGACCGAATAGTGGAATTTGACTTTCACTCGTATAGTGTAGCTACGGCCCCAAATGGCGGAGCAGTTTCCGAAGCAAAAAGATTCGAACTGTTACCCATCAGATTTACAGTAGAGGCACACTTACCACTGGGCCACTCTCAACCACAAGAAAACGAAAAACAGGACTTCCAATTATTGTGAGCACATTTTAAAGCAATTATTTATTTTGTAAATATAAATGTAGCTTACCTGTCACATGGGTCGGGTGTTACCTATTAATTTTCGTGCCGTACTGTAAATCTGAGGTTCCTTGGTTTGTGTCCCGTTGCCGCAAGATATAGCTCCGCAATTTTGGACCATGGGTGCGTTATTAGAACGACTTTAAGATCCGCTATTCGATTGGATTATCGTAAGAGATTGCAGTGGATGCAAAATGAGGGACGGCTAGCGCAGATAACTCTTATGTAGCTTACTTAATGCGAATATCTGAAACAATCAAACAGCACACTCGCATTGTCACAGTGAAAACAATTGTGAAAATAAAAATTAAAAAAGTGTTTAACTATTCGTAGTATTGGAGTAGTTGAATGATGTGAGTTTAATATATTTTATAAACGAAATTATAACTGCACGGTACAGTGTGATAACTGATAAATGTTCTTTAGTTTGATAAACTGAAGTGTTTAACTATTCGTAGTATGGGAGTAGTTGAATGATGTGAGTTTAACATATTTTATAAACAAAATTATAACTGCACGGTACAGTGTGATAACGGCCCGGCATGGCCAGGTGGTTAAGGCACTCGACTCGCAATTTGAGGGTCGCGGGTTCGAACCCACGTCACACCAAACATGCTCGCCCTTTCAGCCGTGGGGGCGTTATAATGTGACGGTCAATCCCACTATTCGTTGGTAAAAGAGTAGCCCAAGAGTTGCCGGTGGGTGGTGATGATTAGCTGCCTTCTCTCTAGTCTTACACTGCTAAATTAGGGACGGCTAGCGCAGATAGCCCTAGTGTAGCTTTGCGCGAAATTCAAAAAACAAACAAACAAACAGTGTGATAACTGATAAATGTTCTATAGTTTGATAAACTGAAGTGTTTAACTATTCGTAGTGTTGGAGTAGTTGAATGATGTGAGTTTAATATATTTTATAAACAAAATTATAACTTCACGGTACAGTGTGATAACTATAAATTTTCTATAGTTTGATAAACTGAAGTGTTTAACTACTCGTAGTGTTGGAGTAGTTGGATGATGTGAGTTTAATATATTTTATATTACATCTGTATTTGTAATGTTAATGTTTGTAATTGTCATATTTTTTTCTTTTTCTAGAATTCTTTGGATTTCACAAGTAGATAACAGGAAAAAATCATTGTTATCGAATATAATGTTAACAATGCGTATTCCTTAAGTAATATATTTGGAAAAAAATGTTGTCTTAAATGTCATAAGTCTTAAATTCTTATTTTCGTGTTTGACTTTCCTGAATATAAAATAAACAGAAGTTCGAACACACGAGTAAACTTATATGAACAAAATCCATCACAACTACAGACGTATAACACTCTTCTGGATAACGTTTTCTATTGATGACCTACTTGGGCTGATGATAGTTGACATTACTTGAAACTACAATAAACGAATGAGGTTCGTTATGAGGAAGTATGTTGAAAAAAATTGGTTACAATTTTGTAACCACAGAAATTCAACTATTAATTCTATAGGTCATAGCTTTTCTACATGTTACCCTGGGTATAAAAGGGTCCAGTTTCTCCAGATATTTACTGATCAATCCTGCTATTGTTGTAATAAACAAGGGTATGTTTAAAAGTTAGTTTTAATTTGCCTTCTAAAAGTGTTGCCTGCATTGTTATTGTCGCTTCATTTACTTATTTTTGTAGGTGGTAGTGTATCTATCAGATCCGGAAGTCCAGAAGCCTAAGAGAGAGATACCTGGCTGTGTAGGAAATGATCCAGGGATCATTTTGCCGTGATTTTTGTTTTCTTTGGTCCAAGTAGTCGTTTAGATATTTCTATTTCTAAGGTGTTACCGAAGTGGACCATCCACGTGCTATAGTCATGCTATTACCTTAGCACTCTTCTCTCTCCCCTCTTATCCTTGTAATACCGGAAGTCCAGAAGCCTAAGAGTGAGATACCTGGCTGTGTAGGACATGAGCCAGGGATCATTTTGCCGTGATTTTTGTTTTCTTTGGTCCAAGTAGTCGTTTAGATATTTCTATTTCTAAGGTGTTACCAAAGTGGACCATCCACGTGCTATAGTCATGCTATTACCTTAGCACTCTTCTCTCTCCCCTCTTATCCTTGTAATATTTTTGCATTTCACTTCGAAACAAAAAAATCTTTGTACTTTCCTGATCTTGAATCTTTCTCTTCTTTCTACTCTCACTCCTATTTGAGTGCAAGTCTTCGGATACATCCATAAGTTTACCGCTTCTCTACGCAGACGTATTTATCTTGACAGCACTTCCCTCGTTCAAGCTTTTCTGACCTCTCTTACGACTACCGTTTTGAGCAACTGGCGGGTCATCGTGATTGCATCAACACCTGTTACACTTGTAACGCCTCGGACAGTTTGTTGTTTTACATTTGCAATATAGCTTTGAATATGACTTCGTTTCCATCTCGACAAGAATAAACACTCGGATACTCTGGTTCGTTGTCTCAGAAATTCCCCACGGGTTTTGCAGAAAGTTCGGGAATAGTGAGTGTTCCACTGATAGTGTACTACAACAATGCCATGCCCATTGTCTGAATTAGGGTACAAAAATACCCAACTCTAGCAACATAAAACAATCATAACTTTTTGGATGTTATCCAATTATGTCTAGACATATACCCCTAGATTCCTGATAAAATAACACATATTCCTGTAAATTTTCAGAATATGATTTCTATAAAATGCTCTACCGTTTCTGTTGCCGTTGAATTGGAGATCGTTAAGATTGTGTTTCAATTATTTCACTTACCAATAACAAGGTTCAATAATTACTTAAAGGAATGGCTTAATTAAGCTGTATACTCTTTGATAATTTAAACATCCTTCAGACTCTGAGAAAGACTTCACTTAGCAAGATTTTACATGTAATAACATTACTTATCGCATAAACTACGGACATACAGGAGTTTTGTCCTTCAAATATATCACAATGGTTTCAATCGATTAAAGTTAGTAGGAAAATTAAGGTGATGAATAAAAATCACAGAAAGGTCTGTTTTTATTTTGTAAAGCTTAGATCTATTATGCATTTCCATGTTTGAGCTAATGCAGATTTGAAATAATGAAACAAAACATTTATTTCAAATGTATGAAATTTAAAGATTTTCAGAGTCAAAATATACATTTTTCTTAACTTGTGTACAAACGACAAAAAATGGCATTAGTCATTCAAAAATAGTTTATAATGATTTTAAGTTGCATATTGTAGTATATTTTATTGTTTACTCTGAGCTAAAAGTTAAGTACCTTCTTGTAAAACAATGCTCAAAGCGATATATTAACCACTAAGACTGTTTACATTTGTCATTTGTCCTTTTAGCTGCATATGTGTCATATTTCAACTCAAATGAATCAGAAATTTGTCTGAATCTGACCTCGATAATCCGATTGTAATTTTTCCTTTCTGTGAGTAACAATTGCTTGTAGAAAGCTTAAGTTATCAAAGTAGATTTAGCTAACCTTTCTGTATAATAGATAGCAAGAGGAATTTTAATCACAATATATGAGCGTTATGTAACAATACCAAAGAAACAAACACTAACAACACATAAATGTAGGTTGTATTGTTAAGTGGCGCAATTTTGTTCAGAGTGTAATGTATTAGTTTATTTTTCACTATTTATATAGAATAAGTTTGTTATTATATATGTATCATATGTCTGATTACTCACTGTTTTACATATTTTGGGTCATTTTCAATATTTTATGGAAACAAACTATAAACACAGGTCTTTGTAGATTTTACTTTTTACTTGTTACTACATTTAAAATTGTTAGATTTTTTTATTATAAAACTTTTGCTTGGACAGAAGATACACAAACAACATTTTTTCTCTAATATTATGTGTCAGAAGATATGTAAGTTTGCACTCTATCTTGTGACACATAAATTATATTTTTCACCACCTATAACATTGTTTTGTCTTAATTTTTAAGGTACTATATATCTTATCTCTTAGGAATGAAATATCTCAGTATTATAAACAATGTATAATTCTGGATTGCTTTCTAAACGGCCCGGCATGGCCAAGTTGTTAGGGCGCTCGACTCGCAATCTGAGGGCCGGGGGTTCGAATCCCCGTCACACCAAACATGCTCGTCCTTTCACCCGTGGGGGCGCGTTACAATGTGACGGTCAATCCCACTATTCGTTGGTAAAAGAGAAGCCCAAGAGTTGGCGGTAGGTGGTGATGACTAGCTGCCTTCCCTCTTGTCTTACACTGCTAAATTAGGGACGGCTAGCGCAGATAGCCCTTGTGTAGCTTTGTGCGAAATTCAAAAACAAACAAACAAAAAACAAGCTTTCTAAACAAAATATATAGCAACTTCTTACTGTATCGTTTCTAAATGGTTTTTCGTGTTGATTTAATTGATAAAAAAGACGAATAATGACTGAGTGTCAGGCTGTAAAACATATAAAAACAAAAGTCCAATTTGCTCAAAAATAAACTTTATTACATTAGCCATTTACAATTTTTAAATATTTTACAAATGCCATCTATTGGTCACTTGGTTTCTTCTTATTTTATCTGGCAATGTCTTGTATTTTTCTGGAAAAAACAAAATAAATTATTCCTTATTAGAAGACAAAAACTAGTTCCATACTTTTTTTCGTTCTATAGATATGCCAAGAAATGATTTACAATATCTGAAGAACAACACTTTTTAGACTGTTCAGTGTTAAAAAAATTCTAAAGTTGGTAGTTTTCAGTATACAATAACAATCTTATTCAAACAAAAAGCTCTATACATCGTTTAAACAGTCAAAAAAAGCTACTGTGTTGTAGTACCCAACAAACGATTGGCATAGGCTAATATCTGAAATTGGCGATGTTAAATAATCCTAATTATTAAATTGTTTGTTCGTATTTAAGAGTAAAACTACACATTAAGTTATCTGTGCTGCTGCTCACAATAGAGTCACTGGGAGGCCTTTGTTTGTTTCTGAATTTTGCGAAAAGCTACTCAAGAACTATCTGCGTCAACCTTCCCTAATTTAGAAGTGATAGTAAACATCGCCCATTGCCAACACTTGGGCTACTTTTTTACCAACGAAAAGTGGGATTGACCGTCATATTATAACGCCCTCGTGGTTGAAAGGGCGAGCATGTTCGTTGACAGAGTCCGAACTTGCGACCAGCAGATTGCCAACCGAATGCTCTAAGCTCCAAGCTATGACAGGTTTTAAGTGTTAAGAACATGCAGTTTGGAGTTCCTTTTGCGTGTTCAAGCCTTAATGGAATACAATATATATATATATATTAAATTTATCACCCATACCAAAACGTTTTGGGTTACCAAGGTAAAGTAAAATGGGTGTAAATATTCAAGGAAACTTTGTATTTAAAAACGCTGTTAGGCATCTCGGTTACTAGTAATCATTTTTATTCATCCAAAGAGACCCCAAAGTAAGGAAAACATTAATTTCAACAGACTTTTGAATAAGTCTCAAGCTCTGTTTGGTTTGAGCAAAAGCAAGTGTGAACTGATTATTGTATTAATCCAATTATCTCACATACAAGGGTTATATGCGCTAGCCTTCACAAATTTTAACTGGTATACTAGAGGAAAGAGAGCTAGTTAACAGCACTCACCGCCAACCCTTGGGGTACTCTACTCGAATACTGGGATTTAACCGTCACACCTATTTTTCTTTCTAAAGTTCATAGCTCGTTTTTGTGGCAGTGGGTCGCGAACCGATGACCCTCAAATTTACAGTCCGGCATGTTAACCCCACGTCCACGTCCGGCCCTATACTTATGAGAGTAATATTTTCTTACCGATATGCATTTAGTGGTATTTGTAGCCAAGTCCAACTCCAGCGTAACCTCCCAAGCCATAACCATAACCTCCATAAGGATAGCCGTAGCCACCATAGCCGTGACCTCCATAACCGTAGCCTCCATATCCACCATAACCGTAGCCTCCGTAGCCACCTAATCCGTAGCCTCCGTAGCCACCTAATCCGTAGCCTCCGTAGCCACCTAATCCGAAACCATGGCCGAATCCAGTCAGAGCACGTTGGTTGTCGAAGCTGTGGGTGACAGCAGAGCTACCAGTGACAGCACCTCCTCCATAGTAACCTCCACCAAGGAGACCACCACTCAGATAGCCACCGAAGGCTACAGAGCAGAGAGTAAGGAAAACGAGAGCCAGCTGAAAGTAAAAATAAAACCTTAGCAGTTTAGAAACTGACAATGAGTAGTGTGGTCATGTAACCGTTGAAAGTTCGTTTCACTGCTAATCAAGACATTTATCAACCACCTTTGTGCAATAGGCTTGATTTTTTCACTTTATTGTAGTCTAATTGGCGTTTTGTCATACCGTCAACAAAATAGATATTGTTACGATCAAAGAGGAATTATCTATTAGAGGCTATGCCATTTCTAAAAGTTCTGAATGCTATGATCGTCAAATCTACCAACGTTAAATAAACAACGTATAATGTACATCTGTAAAATACAAATTTTACGATTATATTTTCGAAGAATGAGCTTGTTAGCTATACTAATCAATACACGTAACTTTTATACCGCGAATAAAGAAAGTCAAACAAAGCTCTAATTATAAGTCAGAAATGAAAAGGAACTAACTTACCTTAGTGTTCATTATTATGGGCTTCTGAGTGGCTGTGAGCAACAACTACAAGAATGGTTGGAAACAAGAAACTCGCCCTTTTTATACCCTAAAGTAACGTTGTTTTCGTGAGCTATTAGCTATAGACCATCAAGGACTTACTTTAGGTCACAGCATTCTGAATTTTATTTCTTGTTTCCCTTTTTTTAATTGGAATGCTTGAATTGACTGGTACGCTGCTGTCTTCAATGTCATTTTCAGAGTCACGTGACGTACCTATTGATACGCTTTGGAAACATAATAAATATTTTAGTAGTGCTTTTGATATAGTAAAAACAAAAACATATTCTAGCAATATTTGGAATTATTATAACTCTGTAATCGTTGAAGCAGCTTAATTTATCCTAAACTACTAATTTCGCCAATACTAAAACGTAATCGGCAAAGAAAAAATCATAACTGTTCGGACTTGAGTTAGCCAATGATGAAGCAAGCCTTAGTTACGTCTAGTTGTTCCTTCCTGAATTACGTTAAAACGTAACCACTTTCTCATGCTAGATTTATTAAGCGTTAATTGTAAATATGCAAGTTAATTAATTAGCATCAATTAAACATATGTTACACACACACACCTGTGTTGACTTTTGTGAGATAGATATCCATTCGCAGATGACATATTCAGTAATGTGAGACACACATTCGCTCGGCTGAACATTCGTGATGATGTATCTGAATCTGTTTTTTTTATCCTGTCCCAATCGATTGCTTATTTTTTGGGTATTTACTTAAAGTTATTTAAGGGGTAACTGCATAGAAAAGAGGAAAGGTAACTAGTCAAAACCACCCACTGCCAACTCTCGGAATGCTTTTTTACTGATGAAAAGTGGGATTGACCGTGCACTATAGTGCCCTCACGGCTGAAAGGGCAAGCATATTCAGTGACGGGATTCAAACTTGTGATCCGCAGGTTGCGAGTTGAGTGCCCTAACCACCAGGCGATGCTAGGCCTAAAGATTATATGAAAATCCTTGTTAAATTTTCCAATATTTCATTATTTAAAATCAAGTCAAACATATTTAAATAATTACATGTTCACGTAAAATTTGTATATTTTAGGTTAATAAAGAATTCATTGAAATATTAATTAGCCTTTGCTTCACACGATACTTATTGTGAACTACTCATAATTATTATGTGTGCATTAGAAATAAATTAAGAAATATATATTAAGGTAAAACACAACTGTTTGCGTTAGGGTACTGCCACAGAAAACAACAACAACAACAAAAAAAAACAACATCCCAGTCATCCTTCTATTGAAGCGACGATTATGTAAATATAATTATAATATAAATATAACCATACATAATATGATTGCACTCTCGTGTTAACTACAGAACAGTGAAAGCTTAGAGTTTGACGATTCTTGTACGACATTGTCTCTCTCGAGTTTTTAACTTGTCCAATAAGAGTATTTCTTAATTTATTGAGTTATTTTTGATTATCCAATATTTATATAAAATACGTATTTTTGTCTTTCTTTTACATTTTTAACTGCAGATATTTCAGACAATTATTCACTCTTATGTTTAGAAATAATAGATGATTGAAAAGCACCATCTATCAGTTATTAACACAATTGCATCATGTTTTTCGAACAGAAGTAACAGAATCCTCACAATTTTTCTATTTCCAATGAATAAACTTAATTTATGCTTACATGTAAATTTTATTGGATTAAAAACTAATTTTGATAGTTTTACAAAAAAGTCACAGGGATCAAAAAGCCAGTTCGAATCAAAACACAATAAAAGGTGTCTGTACATAGTGTAAATGTTAACAATAGAGAATATATGTATATATGTATATGTATATTATTTCAATGTTAGTTTAAATTCATATTTTTTTTGCAATTATTCCTCTTTTTAACATGATCTCCAATATAAAATCATGAAACAAATACGTTTGTATATACATTAACCACAAACTGCTAGATATTTATTACTTTAATTGTTTTCGAAAGATAGTTAGGCTTAGTCTCGAAGCAAAACGCCCCAGTCAGTAGCTCAGCTATAAGTCTCGGGGCTTATAACGTTAAAAATCGGGTTTGGATACTCGCATTGGGCAGAGCAACAAACAAACACATCAAATAAAACTTTGCTTATTAAATAAGCTAGTTTATATAGGAAGATTTTCTTGCTGTTTTCTGTAAATGTTTATCTAATGGAGTGAATCATCTACAAGCATAGCTGTTCACATTACCGCAACCGTTACAGCAAGAAAAATACAGCGGCGCTACTGTTGTCGCTACATATTTATAAATAGAGCGGCGCTATCGCTACCGCTGCTTTTGAAACTGACATTTTTAATAATAATATTTTTGTCAGTGGATAATGTAAGAATAAAACACGCAAAATTTAACGGCAAACGGTGTTACTTTATTGCAATTCAATGATAATACAGAACACAGCATCAAAAATAAATTAATATTATGACAGACATAAATAAGCTAATACGTTCACGACAACAACTGCATCACGCAACACGTGTGACTGTTTTTTAAAGCAAAATGCAGTGTAAATATAATTATATACAATATATTATACAAAATACAATATAAAAAATGATATAATTATATTGTTATATATTATTTACTATTTTATTAATAACAATATATAATTATCATAATATATAATAATATATGATATATAATTATAATAATATATAATATATAATTACAATAATATATAATTATATTTATGTCTGGGATTTTCTTAATAATTATCCGACATGAAATATATACTAGTTGGTTCATATGAATATCTTGTATTATCAATTGAAACGTGTGACCCAAGAAATATTTCTGCTAGAATTAGCAATCTGTGGGTCGCGGGTTCGAATCCCCGTTCCACCAAACAAGTTCGCCCTTTCAGCCATGGGGGAGTTATAATGTGACGGTCAATCCCACTATTCGTTGATAAAAGAATAGCCCAAGAGTTGGCGGTGGGTGGTGATGACTAGCTGCCTTCCCTCTAGTCTTTCACTGCTAAATTAGGGACGGCTAGCGCAAATAGCCCTCGTGTAGCTTTGCGCGAAATTCAAAACAAACTGCTAGAATTATCCAGCTCAAGAATTTAATAAAACATTTAACAGTACTTCTAAACTAAATTTTTACATAAAAATAAATTAATAAACATACTAAATTAATATTAGATTAAACTGAACATATTAACTGTAAATTTTAAATACAACAATATACACATTACGCTTTATACACATTACATTGTATTACGTCACGGATAGCCGGCAAGCCATCGCTGCAGATCGAATCAGCTAAGTATGTCAGATAGCATAGGCAAGCCTAATTAAGTTCGAGACAATAGATATAACATTATATATATAATGATATATAATAATTATATATATGTACAAAACTATATAATCATACAATTACACAAAATATAATTATATACAACATACAAATTATTATAATTCATATTTCTATTCAAATGTAGCGAGTAGCGCTTTGCGTAGACGAAAAATGGAGCGACGCTACCTGCAATTGCTATGGATTTTTAAATGCAGCGTCGATCCACTATTTGCCCCCAGAAACATAAGGGCGCTACACAGTGCGTACTATTTATAGCCACGCTACGCACAGCTCCTGTTACGAGTTCTTACGTACATTTGGTAGAGTGTAATATAAGTAGAGTTTTCAGTTTAATCACATTTTTGTAATACAACTTCTACCATTAAAGTTAATATACAATACGCTACTGGATGAAACTTTCAGATTATGATCGTTATATACCATAATGTTATTTCGAGCGCCATCTATACTATGTATTATTTAAAAAGTAGTTGAAAGATTGAACACCATTTTTACAGTTCATACACATATTGGGAATTCATTTTGGAAGTGTGTACAAAATGAATATCAACTAAGATATACACTAGAAATTACACACCTTTTTTATGGTAAAAACGTCTGATGAGTAGGAAAGTAACATTTGTTTCTTTCTCTGATAGCAAGGAAGATTCTCTACATAATCTCATTTTAAATCTCTGTTGTTTAATACTTCGTACAAACACCTCAATTATGAGCGATATGTACGAATATATTTCAACTGTTTTAATCTTTCAAACACACAGATATTTCAAATCTCAACTGAATATTAATACAAATCAAAATGGAAATATCTGTTATGTCGTTTGAAATAATTCAGATGAGTTGAAAAGTGACCAACAACCCGTGTTTTAATGATTATATTACCTGATGTATTATATTTTCCCCATAGGTAAAACTGTAAACATAATCTGTGACGTAGAGGCCTAATACATTATTTATTTCGCATCATCCTCTTCTGCGAGCTGCATTTTGTCGTACTCAAGACTCATCACCACAACTTGGGCCAGAAAACCAAAGAAATACTTATAATGGTGATGTATATATGATATTTATGGGGTTTTTTTTTAGTCCTTTTTAACACATTGTGTTTTAATTTGTAGTTCGTAAAATAAAGTTTGAATTAGAAAAAAAAATCAACAAGTGTGAAATACGCATAAACAATATTATTAGTAGTATTATAATTATGACACAACAAAGAAATATTCCTTTTAATCATTGTCACCATATGACTATCTTCACACTGGAAGTTTACAGATATGTCAACTTCATATCTGACAATAAAAAAGAAAAAGAAAAAAGAGTTTTATGGAAAGAATGCGTGCTTCAAGGCCAGTTTGGTCAGTGATGAAATTCAATTGGTTAACGATAAATTGATATTTGATCAGGGTTAAAGTACATGATTGTAAATAGAAGACTGGAACTTGAAATCATATAATTCAAATTTCAAATCATATAATTCATGAGATTGCCTAATAAGCCTTTTTAAATAGCCTTTCGGACACCAAAAGGTTTTCTTCAACTCTAACTTCTAAACAGCTGCAGGAAGGGTAGAAAGAGGCAATAAAATCAAGGCATTGTTGAAGGTGATGACGGCAATGTTTCCTCGGAAGACATTCTTTATACAAGGAAAGATATACGAACAAAATATAGAATTCACAACTAAATTGCG